GAGCGGGCGCAGCAGTGTCGGTGGCGGACGAGCGCGCGGCCGGCCGGAGGGCGAAAAGAGCGTCTGGGAGACGATATAATAATAATATTACTGGTACAGACGGTTGCGCGCTTGTGCTGACTACGCGCGGTGGCAGCGGTGGAGGCCGAGAGCCACTAACAAATCAATGTTCCCGCAACCACTGTAATACGACTGTTCGCGTGTGTGTCTGTGCGAGATGTTTACAGAGTGTAAGTTCACACACACACATACATACGCCACTACGTCTTTGAGAAGCTTTCGTGACGCATATAATATATGCGATATATACGTATATCGAGCAGTACGTGCCCAGCTTTTTTTGAAAAGGAGGAGAAGGGGATATGAATATTGTTGGCTGTTATAAAAAAAAAAAGAAAAAAAAATGTATTCTTGTCTTCTGTAAGTGCTATAGTTAATTATTATAACAATAAGTATGGTATCGTGTGTAGCAATGACCAATGGGAATTCATATACACGTATTATACTGTGCACGTTAACATCTCGACGTAAACAACCTTGTGATGGTGGTAAATATGTTTTCGTTATTGTATCACATACTAAAGTGCTATCGATCGATTCCTCGACTTATATGAAACATAAAAATTACACAGAAACAGATATTGAAAACATTAAGTTTTATTTTTACAATAAATTATACAATTTTATTCTGTGTTGATGAGAAATCAATAACAAAAAAAAAATAATATTCAAACGGGGAATATGATACTCACCCGTTCCCCTCTCCCGCGAATACTCTCTTGATAGAGAGGTGCCTGTGGCGTGACTACATACCCGCGTGATCGAAATCCTAGCCACCCAGCTACACTTACTGTGCATGCTCGGTGTTTGGCGGGCTGCAGGAAAAATCAGAGTAAACAATTTTATCCTTTTATATACAACCGACTTTTGAAATTATTATGAAACACGATTAAAAACAGTTATTTTTAAGTGTTGTTATGACAATCGGGTGGTAAATTTTTTCATCAAAAAATTGTACATAGTAAGTTTCCGTCTCTGACAGCCAAATTCTTCCCTTAAATAATGCAACGATTGTAAATTCCCTTTTAATATATTGAATCGAACCACACAACTCAAAATATGCCACAAAACATTTTTAAATAAAAAATATTATTGTGTACGTTGTAGGAGAGTTGGCTAACTATTGGTGAACACGGGTTACGTCCTTAAAATGTTACCTAGCCTCTTGTGATCTTTTTTAGTTGCTTCACTATAAAAACTAATTGCCAAATCGATGAGTTAACTTATAATATACATAGGTATATTATTTTATTAATAGACGATTTAAATAAATTAACTACGATTGGGGATGGAGAGACGGCAGAAGGGCGTTCCGTGGATAGGATTCCACGAGAAAATATATAATACATCGTTATTTGTTATATTACATAGTTGTCTTTTATACTTCGCAGTCCGGTGTGAGGCGGGACGGCGCAAGCGCTCGCGGTCGAGGACGCGCCGGCAGAGGATTCGCAGACAGATAAACTCCGACGATACCGCGGCGACCGCCCACGTCCTAACTATCCCACCCCTTGCGTAATCAAACCGTACTTTCGCGTATCACACTGGTAAATATATTGTTATGTAATGTTTTATTATATGGTCGTTATAATCTATCGTTGAATTTATACGATATTTTAGTTTTTAATCGAGTTACAAGAATGTTTTTATATTTTTATATTCTACATTCTCGCGACAACGATAGCTTAAAAACAACGTAAAATATCGCAAAAAATCAACGAGAGATCACACAGATATAATGTTTTTACCCGAAAGTTCGATCATTCAATTCTGCGACATTAAAGTTAAAAACACAATATTGCGGATTGTAACGCTGGGGACGTCGCGTATGTCGATATACGCGTGCTCAGGGTGTAGCGTCCGCAGAGCTGTATTAGCCATTAGGCAATATATAGGCACTGTGCCTACTGTGGCCTACAAAAATCTGCAGCTACAATTTTTTTGTCATATTTTTATTTTATTTTTTTATTTATTATTATTATAAGTTAATACACATATTAGCACAATAAGTAAAATATAATGTATATAAGAAAATTATTATGATATAAAAGTGTAGATTTGATTTATACGTCAAAATATTTTTGTTTTAAAAAGCTTAACAGTGAAATTCAACACTTCCTTTCTCAAAAAGAAGGTTTCTTAACCGTCTGTATCTAGGGCCTACGATAATGTTAATCCGGACCTGAGCGTCCGCTCTCAAAAGTCGCCCGCAAAAAGTTCATCAACTGATGGACGATATACCTACTCCACAACGGTCATAAAACGGCGTAACCTTTATTTTTCGTCGCGTAAAATATTACACACACACAGAAAATATTTGGTATTTCATATAGAATCAGTAAATCGCGCGTTTCTCTGACATACGTTTACCACACCGGCTAATATTACTACCATCACCTACGCGTAGATGGGTGCGTATACCCACGTCGTCCCATCATGGACCACATAATATTAGTATGTATTATTCTCACGCGCACGATTTCTCCACGGTCTCTTCGCGGGCACAAACGATTTTACACGCGGTCTGAGACCTGTCGACAGGACCATGCTCGGCGTGCATTGTTCGGTTTCCCCGAAAAGCCACGCAGGGTTACGGTACCGCGCGCGCCGTGTGCCCAGGAATAATAATAATGCGATTACTACAGACGACGACGACGACGTCGTTTCGTCTCGTGCTATAATATTCTCCGCCGCAGTCGCCGCTCGTTTTGTCTTCCACGATTTACGATTTTTCGTTTAATTATCGCCGCGGCGGATGTACCGGACGTGTGGTGCGTGCGTGCAATGCGAGTACAGTATACTACAGCAGCTCGTACACAACATTATATACCTACTACGTATCTATACATCATAAATATATACGTATTCTATATTTGTATATATACCTATAAACGCAGTAGTATAGTACCTATTATATGTACATAAACAAGTTAGACGTGATAGTATAGTTGTACAGGGTGTAGTCGACACCATAATATTGTTTTATAACTCATTAGTGATTTTAAACTAGGTTTTCAGTGATAAAATCAGAAATTACCGATTGTTATTCAGACGTAGACGAGACGATGAATTCGTAATATTATGGCTTACAGTCTTTTGGCAAGTCGACGTTTAATTTTCGTCGAGCATATTTTTTAACTAGCCAACATAAAACAAAAACGTCTATCCGTATTAAATTGTAGTCACTTCACAACTTTAAGCGTCTGGCTGGTTAGTTTTTATCGCCACCACCACCCTTCTTTTTAAACGGGTTTATGTATCTATTATGTTCACTTTCTAATATGTGCGCCACGGCGCACCGAGTCTGAATCACAAGTACAACACTTAGAGTTATCGAATACTGCTCTAATAATTAATCAAAAATGCCATTTCAACGGCCAAAAGTAACCGATATTTTTTTATTATAGTCACGTAACTACGCAAGCGATAGGAAAACGACCATTTAACTTTATCAGAGTTTCTTTGACTTTTATAAATTGACAATAACATGAAAATAAAATACGAAACTTTGACACATGGGTTTAAAACTATTAAAACAAACATAACGGAAACAGTATTTTTTGCTACGATATATTATTGAATTTTCTAATTAGTAATTTACAATAAAAACTCGTATACGATGTACCTACTAATATTAATATATGCATTAAAAATTAATAAAATGCTCAACAAATGCAAAATAAAATTTTCAACTTTAAAGTGAAACGAATTGTGTGCCAACTTGAAATGTGTGTATTGAAAATGAAAAATCGTGCGTTCTGCAATCCGGGCGCTATAGTCATGTACTCATGTATTATAATATAAATATTATAATATAACAGTATTTAGGCGGGCGAGGACTTTACAACGTAGTTACATAGACGCACCCTGTATATCATAAGGTACCAACTACCACTAGCTATACACACACACGCACTCATACATATATATGTAGATTAGTGTCTCGTGTATATAGGTAATATACTCTGCTGCGGCGACGTTGGTCGCGGTGGGTCCTGCATGATGTGTCGGGCGGATATGTGTGCGACAACGCGTTTCACGCGTATTTAAAACGCCACTATAATAATTATATGTACAAGCCATCCGATAACCGTGAAGCGCATATTACGCATCAACGTGTGCAGGTCGTCGCCGCCGGGTCTGTCGCGTCACTCGTTTATTCACATTATACACGTAATACCTATGTATATATACCGATATACGTATATAATATATTGCACACACGAGAATTATAGTCACACCATATTAAGCGTATACGATTTTAATATTTGTAAGATTTATGCGACTTACCGACACGAGATCTCACGCGGTGCTACGAGTTTGTTTTTTATTTTTGTTTTGTGTTAAACGTTTTTGACGTGACAACGTTTTCGCGCAGATATCGTATTATACAGCCTTAAGAACGCTGCACCGGTTGACAAGACCGTCATCGGCTGTTTCTCACTGAACGAGATATTTATGTACAGTAAAAGAGCTATTTATTTACGTCAGTAGCACCTGCAGCACTGATCATACCTGTAAAATATTTCACGTGCAATTATTACATTGTGTTAGCGTTCGTATTATCGTTTATTATCATTGTCACGGAATATTTTTAATATTATTAACAGGTTAGTCGTAACATCGTGACAGTTACTACTACCTGAACGGGCAGTCGCGGTCGACGAATTAAGTCGGTGAAATTTATAAATCGAAAAATGTCTAGGTTTGAACCGTACTAAAATTTTTGGCACGATATATGGCGTAGCTGTGATACCGTTTTAAGTTATATAGTGCATCCCCCTTCCTTCGACATCTTAAAATCGAATACGCGTATATACGAATAATTGATATTGACATTTATCGGTCGTGAGTTTAAAAACACAAACGATAGTTAAATCGATAAATCGGATCTCTGTTTAATTGCGATGAATAGATCCTGCAGTCAATATTATACGTTGTTATTTCCACCTCTTGTCATTTATCAAGGGATCCTGTCTAATGTCTGGTCGATGATCTGTGCAGTTAATTTCTGAAGGTTCTCCTAACATTAGAGACATCCGACATTCCTTGGGCAATTTATCGATACGGTTTAATAAACTGTTCATGAGTAAAATATTCTCGGAGTCTGGCATGATGTTTATCAAGTTTGCTTTTCGCTCATCTTCGGTGCTTATTTCGGACACTCGTACTTTGTCCGTAGCAAATAATTTCCACATCTAGAATTATTTATTTTATTAATAAAAAAAATTCTAGTGTGAGTGTTTTTTTTTTCAATATCATGTACATTATTAATTTAATATGTAGTAGAAAATAAATACTAATAATGACGAAATTAAGTATTTTATGATTATGATTTATAACATGTTTTATAACCATGTTATAGACATTTAAAAAAATAAGCCGTACAAATTAGTGATAACTTAATATTTTTTATAATTTATTAATAATTATTTATGTATATCTAAATATTAATATTGTTAATTTAGAAAATGTTTATGAATTTTAATTCATTATCATTTTTTTTTTTTTTAATATTTTCAAAATGTTTACTTATCAATACAATAATATTAAAGATTCATAAAACAAATAAACAAAACATTGTAGTAAAACATTAATTCAAAATATTATTATATAACTGTAAGTTAAAGGTACATTGTATATAAAAAATGGTAATATATTAAACGTTTGAGGCATCCGGGAATTGGGCCACAATTAACCTTTTTTCAACAAGGTATACGGTAAATAGGCCATTCCTGTTTTACCCAACGATTGGGTCACCATTAAATTTTAAATTTTAATAAAATAATATTTAATATAATACATTAATACATTACATTTAAATTGCTACAATACCTAACATTTCAGTTCTCACGAAACTTTATTTGAAGCGACCGCATGCATTATTGAAAAGTAATAATTTATCCAATATTAAATGAATGAACTTTAATTCAAAAAAATTATTATATTCTCAATGAAATTAAAAAATACAAAGAAGAAGAAAAAATGAGATTTGAATATGAAAATCTGTGTCATATTATTTAAAAAAATTATATTTTTGTGTATTAGAAAAAAATGAATAGTTTATAAACCTTATTTACTCGTATATTCCTATATTATACATTTATGGTTTAATCTCCGGATACATTTTAAAAACAGAGTTGATTTGTGGCCCAATTTCTTGGTAGTAAAAGATAAACAAATATTATTTATTTTTTTCAGGTAGGTAAAATGTGGCTCAATTACCAACCCACTCAAATGTTTCACTATTTGTCGAATCACCACAGGAATCAAGTAATATGTAAATATGTTAAATTGTAATCAATATTGATTATTAATGAGACTTGAACACCATTTAATTATTTACCTGTTACCTTATAATGGAATACCAAAGTAATATTAATATTACCTATAACTAAATTAAAACTATGCACTTTTAAGTTAATAGTAAAATTATCATTAAATACCTACATAATTTTTTTTTTTTTTTGACCATTGGTGTAAATACAAAATCATTGAATCTAAAAATATTTTTAACTATATTGATTTTTGCACGCATCATTTTCGCATTGTTTTTTAATATTAAAGAAATTAAAATATGAATGTAATATAAATTAAATTATATAATAGTACTATAGAATTTCGTATTACTAGGGTTCGACTAGTTCAAGGGTATATATGAAATATATATAATCAAACATACCAGACGTAATTTAAGATGTGATTTCCCTGTGTAAAAATTGAATGATGGCATATTATTGTGTATATAAAAAATTTTTAATCATACTTTTCTCATAAATGCGGTGACATTCTCATCTCCCAAAGTTCTACTAAGTGATATTATAAACTCGATGGTTTTTATACACTGGAGCCCGTTGCCTAATTTAGACTCAGCGATCATCGTTAGCATTAAGGCATTTACTTGCCACGCGATACTACCCAAAGCACAAGCGTCGTTGAACATTGTTTTCGTTAACGGTCTCGTGGCTTTGAATTCGTTTAGTAGTATATAGCATTTAACTCGCTCGTACTGAAGGTACAGTCTGTAGGTAGTTAATTCGATATTATTTAACTGCCTGGAGAGTTTTTTCAAATAACTCCTGTATTGAATATTTGTTCACGTTAGTATATTATGCATGTGTAATCACTATAATATAATAGACGTAATATTTTTGTGTAAAGTGTGTTTATTTTTACTTTGTATTTCGGTTTTCGGGGCCAAAATATGATTCGCGATAGACGTGATTGTAAGCGTCCTTCTCATCGAAGTTTGAACCCAATATGAATAATATTCTTTTGTGGTTCATCACATTCGACCACTCGGGTATATCCCGATTCAGTAAGTACAAAGCCAAACCGAATACTTCGTATAAGGTGTTTACTATCTTTAACGGTTTATAACGATGTTCGTCCATATATTCTATAGCTAATTCGGCTTGTCGCCGAGCTAATTCGATTTTGCCGGACAAACAGTGTTCAACTATTGAATTAATATACTTGGAAACTTGTAATTTTACCAAATCTTTGATTTTTCGCTGGTCATTAAGTTGGCGATTTGGTCTTTGACATACATACATATAAAATGGCTTTTTTTGATATAAATCTTTCTACAACAAATCATTTTTTAAATAAAGTTAATTTAGATATACAATATTTTATAGACATACATATATGTTATTGTTTTTCAACAATAACATTTGGTTATTATTTATTTATTTATTTTTAATAAAAGTATATAATTTAAAAATCTTATATCCTTTAATATATATTTACTTTGGCTGTTTCAAATGTGTGAAGGATTTTTTGAATTTGTTCATAAACTAATTTATCATTTTTATTGTGTTTGGGTAAAATGTTTAGCTGTTTTCTATAAAACCTCACGTTTTGTACTATATTTTGTAAATAGTATGCTTCTTGGATTTTTTCGATGTGAGTTTTGTGAATTTTATTAAAATTTTTAGGATTATTTAACTGTTCACGTGCATTCAATTCGATGAATTGTTCATTTTCTATCATTCGTAATATTGTGTTTTTTAAACAACTCATTAGTCCATTAACAGGTAAATAGTTATTCATAACTTCATTAACCTAAGAAAAATAAATATTTTTTTTTTTTAATAGTTCTTATTTCCTAAGTCATATTATACTAAATTACACGTTCAATTTAAACTTTCAATATATAAAAAATTAGTTTTCCCATAACAGTAAATGTATATAAATATTTAGGTAATTTTGTGTTTGATTTAAATTTAAAAGTAATATTTATAAAATTAATTTTTGAGAGAAAAATAAGTTGACAGTTTATATATTATAATAGGTAAATTGCAAATTTATTAATAATGATTCAGTTGAATTATTTTAAAACAAATCAGAAAACACGTTTTTATTTCTCATCAGAATAATACTTAAATAATAAAGTGTACTATAAAGGTTACATTGTATGGTGTAAAGTTGTTATTTTAATATTAAGCAATGTAGGTACAATATGGCAACTACTCCCTTAACAGACGCCTTCAAATAGTAGACTTTTTTGAGAATAGATTACAATTTTAATCCTTTGAATAGTGGAAACCTCTGATTAGTTGACAATATTTCAATGACTAAAAATTGTACTATATTATATTATATTATTATTTATTAAGATTTTGATAGGTATATTGGTTTGTTTACTTTCAGTAATCCTTGATTACAATCAAACGACGTTTTCCTTCGCATAAAATATCGACTATAAGTCATTAAACTGCTTTCAAAGTTTCCCAATTTAAAGTTTACACTGGCTTCATTCTCAATGGTTTGGAGTAAATCAGGATCGTTCTGCATCGCATGGGTCTGGTGTTTTGCCGCTTGTTCGGGTTGTAATAGTTTCTGATAACATTTACTGAGTTTGACGCGCGTTTTAGTGTCCATGGAGTCGTAGTATAAAACGGTTTCATAACATTTTGCGGCTTTTTCGTAGTCACCTCTCTGCTCAAACTTTTTGCCCACCGCAATAGTCACTCTTAACTGATTCAACCATTCTGGTCGTGGTTTTGTATTCAAAAATGCATCTAATTTGATGTGCAATGCCATGTTATATGAGAAACCGTTAGAAACAAATACAAATTTAACTTTCTTATTAAAAAAAAAAAATCAAATCGACACAAGTTATATTCTAATATGTGTTTCTAAATATAAATTATTTTTTTTTTAATTTTGACGTCATGGCTACATAACTAAATATATACAACTATTATAGGTAGGCTGAGTTATTTGTAGACAAGCATATTTTGTTTACAATAATATGAAATAATATATATAAATATATCATCTTGACAAAAGTAAAAACCAAAATGTAATGTTTCAACTAAGTAAATATAAAAGAGATCGGTTAAATTTCTATGTAAATTTTTTTTTTTATATAGGTACCTACATTATGTATACAATCATAATATATATTGTTTTTATAACATATTATTTTTATTTCTGTTTATAATTAAATAATTATGAATTGACTTATCATAATAGCTTTTCTTGTATAATTATGAATCACTCAAGTTGGCTTTACATTATTTCAATTTTTTTACACTTTCAAGCTATACGTACAATAACCCCTTACATAAAGTTACTTGTTTTACCTGTAGCCAATTGGTATAATATATCATATGAGGTCTTATCTTTTGTTTATTTCCTCAAATAGTGTACGTGAAAAAACTTAAAAATGAACGATTTCATTAGGCCAAATGATCCAGTCTGGACACTCCCAACGACCAACTACATGTCGATCACGGATTATTATCACAGGAGTCCAGCAATGAGATGTTTAAGGTCGACGCGTTTAAACAGAATACTATATATATAATATTTCTAACGGTAGTAGTGACTACAAACATACACACACACACACACACACACACACACACACACACACACACACACACGATATAGGTTTAAGATATATAATATTATTTTATGGCATAACAAGAACACCGTTGAGTTTTTTTTTTATATTTTACGATCACTGTTATTGTTTTTTAACGTTTCCGAAACAATACAGGAGTGTTTACGCGGGCGAGGTCGGTTTTTAATGCTTCGGAAAAATTGTCCCAAACAGCTTCTCGTACTGCAGCGGCACAATCACCGCCTCCACCACTTCCACCACCGACATCCGGATAACGTAATAGTCCTATAAATGATGGTTTATCGTTTGCCCGTTAGCTCGGAAAGTTATCCCGGAACAGCTGATAATAATTCATCTCTGCGAGCAATTCAAAGGACACAAACAGTTTCTAAATCGTTTCACGGTTCAATTTCCGGAATCTGGACGAGATTCGTTTTTTCCATTTTATTTTTGTAGACATTTTTCTTGTTGATATATATATATATATATCTTCGATTTTTATAGTTAACTTAATATATACCAAATATATCTATAAAAATACACATTACAGTATTACACATACATATTGATACTATGTAGCATTATTGGTAGTATAGTTAGTATTCAATGATACAAATTTTTTAATTGTATAAGTACTTACAATAATATTTACAACAAAAAGTACTAATCTATCGAGCTTTACTTATTTTGATTCATTATTATACTATTTATACCTTTCAATTTCATCATGTTTTTAATTATTAAAATTAATAATATCTGCCGTATATTTTATTTATATAAATAGTAGCTGATTTAAATAAAAGTTGAATAATAAGATAGAAAGATAAGTAAATAAATAAATATATATATATACTTAAAATACCGTTTATTGTTTAATATTTATAATCAGTCAGTATTTATAACTAAATATTAGAAAGAAATGTTCGACTTTAATAACATCAATAAATAAAAAACTACTTATTATATCTATTTAATATTATAGCTATATAAGCTATATAATTATATTTCCAATACATGTATATTTATTTTTGTTTGGTCATTTCATTAACTTTATTTTGGTATTGTAGAATTAATCATGAGAAAGAACGTATGTGATGTAATATAATAACTATATTTAGTAAAATTACTTCAGTTTGTCTGAATACATTATTTGACTTTAATATAAACACTATTTTAACATTTTTGTTTTGCATGGTCGTAACTGATCTATTTATTTATTTATTAAACTACATGGCTGTCTAAATTCAATGGATAATACTGTTGCGTCCGAGTAATTAAGTCATTTTTTTTTTTAACTTTTATTAGTTTTTGTAATACAAACATTTATATTTAATTTCATATTTAAAGCAGAATATTTTTTGACAGTTTTTACATTTGAAAATCAACATTTTAAAGAACAGTTAAAAGTAAGTAATTAAAGTTTTTATGAGTGAAATAGTCCAAGAATACCCCGTAAAATGACGTTTTACGCTATTCTGATTATCTAAACTTTAAATATTTACAATTAAGGCTTTGGACTTATAGTCCAGACTAAGTAGTATAAATAATTGTTTCTTAGCATGTATTAGCAGTTTAAATAAATCATTCTTATTCAAGTTGTTTTTCCTCTTAAGTGCATATTTTGTATTTTAAGTAAATATTTCACGTATTTTACTAGAAAAAAAATTTGAAACAATATGTGATGTAGATTATAGAAAATAATATTTTATACGTACTATGCAATATTTAATATTATTTTCTAGAAATCGAAAAAATAAATTAAAATGATTAAATATAAATAATTAAACAATCCATCTACCGCGTGTTTTTCCATTTATTTGCGTGTTGTGAAAAACATAGTCAGTCGATAAGGAATGACGCCTAGTAAGATAAGTTGATTTCAATACGTCTATTAGTATCGTATGCGTGTTTTCGTCTAGCGTTAATAATATAGTTAGTGTAATATTTAGGACTAAGTACTTACAGTTTTCCGAGTGACCGAGGATATTCGCGGAAATCCCGAAAATCCCGAAAATCAAAACTCGAATAAATTCTTTGTTAAAAGAAAAAAAACGCGGGCGGTAAGCCGCACGGGGGTGTGAATCGCCCTGTACCTATACGGGGAAGGGCCACGTCGGTGATCGCGTCATCGCCACCCGAGTCAGTCCTGGTGCCTACATCATCATATCGTGGCGTACTCGTACTACCCACTGTCTTGTCTACATAGTGCACACTGTGCACAGTGTATAGATTCGTGCGTTATATGAACTTACTAACTGCACCAATCACCAATCACGTGTTCCGCCGATCGGATACATCATGTTATTGTCATGACATAGGTACATGGGTGCCGATTGTGATCCAAAACATTATATAGGTAATACTGCGGATACCGTGTATATGGTAACATATAGCTACACGGTAACGGCATCATTAATAATTAATATTATAACATATTATTATAATAACGGCGTCCCGTGTAGAACGCGCATTACAAAATAGGTATACCCCATAACGTCATTATAATGTACTGCGACGGCGGCGGCGGCGGCGTCGGCCGATGACTGATAACTGCGTCGTGCAGGGGCCGCGCGCGTACACAGGTGCGCCGGCAGGGACCGTTTTTTCAGGGGAATCCAAGTCCTGTGTGCGAAAACGTGCACGGTGGGCACGCCAGTTGAAGCCACGCGACCACGGCGGCACACTCCGACGATATATCGCCCCCGAATGAGGTCAAAATCCGTGGCCAGGCGACTCGCCAAAGGTAAGACAACTACTCGTTTTTTCGGTGTTTCAATTCACAGTTACAATAATGCACGATAAAACCGCACAGCGCACATTGTCGATAATGTCATATAACATAATATAATAATTAATAACAAATAATAATACTATAATACTAATATAATGATATTATACGTACTGTATAAATCTATAAGTCCACTTGCACATAATATTATATGCGCGTCAATGTATAGTAGTACGCGAGCAGTTCAAACTATTTATTTATTTATTTATATTTTTTTTTTTTTTGAAAAACACAAGTCTCGTAAAATTGGTTTTTCCCGTATTCTTTGTAAGTACCGTCGGCATGAACAGATGTTCATAGTTGCACTCACTTGTGCTCTTCAAAAATATAAAAGTTTACATGAACTTAACATAAAAATTCTGATTTATAACAGAAAACTATTATATTATGTTTCATATTTTATCAACCAAACTTAGCGTTAACTATTTATTCACTTGTTGTTTTTATTTTAACCGTAATTGCTAATTGTTTTGTATTGATATATTGAATTATTAATATTATAATACGGTGTTAGGTATTGATTATAAATTATAATACATAATATAATATTTGTTTACTAAAGAAATTTACTTTTATACAACAATAATATTTAAATTCTTATTTTTTATGCACTAAACATATGTATTTATTTTTACAATTAATAAAATAAGTTTTAAAACTATGGTTGACTATATTCCTCAAATGGTTTAAGTACTCGAGTAATAAATACAATTTTGTATCATGTGGTAAAAGTTAGTAAAATGTATATAATAATTTTATATTTTATAATAATAATAATAATAATACAATTGTTATTAATTATTTTCTTATAGGTTTACTTTTCTGTCAATAATTAAGAACTAAGATAAAAATTAATACAAAAAAATAATGTTACATTTTTAGGACTGGTATACTCAATGAATTTTAGTTCATTACTTCTATAAATTTGATCGTTTTGAAGTATTATAGTAACAATTACCACAATTAAAACAAAAAAAAATTATAATTGACTATCTAACTATATTTTTCATAATCTTATATGTAGGTACACAGTAGATAAAATAATGACTCAAATTTTTTCTAAGTGATTATAAACGCTTGAGAAACAAATCACGTATGTATCATACTATTCATAAAATATAATTTATTATATATTATTCTTCGACGGAGGCACAGAACAATAAGTCTACGCCAAGTAAACGTTATAATTTTTGCAGATCTCTCTTTTCTTTTTCAACCACTAAGTCTTTTGAGTTTGGTGTTCATATTTTAAAATACATATAAGTATTACATACGATTATTTAATAAATATCGATTCGTTTTATATTTATCGTATATAGAGGAAACTAAGTGCTAAATGACAAAAACAAATATAATACACAAATGTCATGTCAATAATTATAAATTGTAGTATCAATAATAAAA